AATTTAGAACAAAGAAGAAATAAAAACTATACACATTACTAGAAAATAATGGCAACTGTGTAACAACCCATACCTGTGGGTGTAGTCAAAACTATAATCAGAGGAAAACTGGCAGATATAAATATTCATATCTTAAATGTGAAAGAATGAAAAATAAGCATTCCATTTAAATAGTAAGAAAAAAACCAAGAAAATCAGGAAAAATAAACAAACAAAAAGGCACCTAATAAGTAGGAAAAAAGGATAATAAAACTGTTATACCAATCTGATTTCCTTAAAAAACTCAAACACCAGCAAGATAAATGACAGCTAAGTGAAATTTGAAAAATGTTGGGGAGAGGTGATAAGTACAAATGCCCCAAACCAGAAATTTAAAAAAGCAATTAATAGATATAGAAGATTAAATTTATGAAAGTAGTATATGTAGTCCTATTGTAATATGTTAAAAAATATAATTAATCCTAAACCCCCCCCCCCAAATTGCCAAAATTATAAAAATTTAACCAGAATAAAACATAAAATATTTTCAAAGAACTACCTCCAACAAAGGCTCCAGGCCTAGATGGGTTTTATAGTTCAGTTCTTTAAAACTTTCAAGAACAAATAATACCATGCTATATAAACTGTTACAGAGCACAGAAAATTAGAGACAGAGTTCCAAATTCATTTTACAATGTTGACTTAACCCTGATACCACAACCAGACGAGCACACAAAGAGAAAAAACAAATTACAGACCAAATTTACTTATGAAATCCTAAATAATATACTTTAGTACAAAAATCAATAGCACAAAAGTATATGTCTACACGTGAGAGCCTTTATTTTATGAATAAAAGAAGAGGTTATATTAGATAATATCTTTATAAAATGTATCATGTTAATAATTCAAAGCAGCATCACTGCAAAATAATCTCCAAAGATGCTATTTTTGGTCAAGTATAAATGATACATCTTTAATATCAGAAAACTTACTGGAAGAGGCAACAATACCTATATTGTTACAGTTAAAGTTGGGAGGAAATTCTATAGAATGTAGTAACAAAATAAAGACAATGAAGAAGATACCCAGAATAAACTAACAAAAAAAGTCAATAGTTACAACTAGAAACAGAAATAAACAACAAAAAACCCTCCCAAGTAAATGTTAACAAATATAGATTTCCTATAAACCCAAACAAAGCAATAGTAAAACAATAGGAAAATATATTTTTATAATATAAATAACATAATAAAAAATTCCTAAGGGATAAATATAACAAGAAAAAACTGGATTTAATCAAAGGAAACTTCACTGATAGGCATGAAAGAAAGACATAAATCAAGAAATATTGGGCTGGGGTCATGGCTTAGTGGTAGAGCACTTGCCTCGCATGTGTGAGGCACTGGGTTCAATTTTCAGCACCATATACAAATAAATAAAATAAAGGTCCATTAACAACTAAAAAATGTTAAAAAAAGAGAAATATTTACAGGCTGAATTTTTCTGAAGTAAATTTTTACAGTTAATACATTTGAATCAAAACTTGTTTTGGGTTTTTGTATCTAAAATTAGAAAAGTGACTCACAAATTCCCATGAAAAAAGTAACTGTTCAAAAAATAAACCAAGGAAAACTGTGAAAAGAAGGATATAGAGGAAAGACTGGTCTTTTACTGGCTATTTCAACATTTAATGGCTGAAACATCTACACGGTATGGTACTGGCATAAGAACAGAGAACATAAAGGAAGAAGATTGAATATAGGAGGCTCTAATGATGAAACAAAAGGGTTATATATGAAAAGTGAAACAAAAAATACCTAAGATGAGTATTCAGCATCTAGTGGCATGGGTAAGTTCTTTCTACATACATTAGCAACATTATAAGCTACGAAGTTCATTAATCAGAGTTATATAAATTGAACTAAAATTAATTCTTGAAAAACATCGACATTTTAATATTATCTAATATATACAGAGGTTCATAAGCATTAAGAAATAGACATGTAAAAGAAGAATGAACAGAGAAAAAAAATGCATTTAGTGAATAACAAAGAAAATAAAAACTGTAACATGTTTAGCCAGTAATCCCAATTCTAATTATCTAAACTAAATTATTATCAAGTATGTTCACTGCAGTGTTATTTATAACTGCCCATCCAAGAATTACATAAGTAGCAGGGCTAAATTTGGTAAAACAAGAAATATAAACATAAAAGAAGATATTAGAAAAACTAAAAGAAAATAAATTAAAGTCTAAGTTTTAGGTAGTGAGATTGATACTGTGTTACTTTTAATCTTTACACATTTATAACTATCTGCTAAAATTTTCATAAAAACATATTACTTTCATAATTAGAAAAATAATATAAAAATACCTCAATGATTATTTTCATAAGCACATGACTATCAGAATTCAAAAGTTTCAACAAGGAAAAAAGCTTACAATGACTTGTAAATTAAACTATCTTTGCATGTAAAATTCCTTAAAACTGTTAAATTCTATTAAGTCTTAATTAAACAGGAAAACATGGATAAAAGAAGCTAGTCATTACTCCATTAGATTACATAATTGTTTTTTCCTCAAAGTAATTTGGATTTTAAAGACTGTGGAAGGGATTGATTTTCATATAAATACATCTAAACAATGAAATATAAAAGCATTCATACCTAAAAGGAATGGCTTTAAAAACATTTCATATTAATAACATCTTTCTTTTTTCAGTGAATGTTTCAGAACAGAATCAATTTGAGACTATTCATTCTATTAGGGTTTTATTCAGGAAACTTCATTCAGGCACTCCAAATAGGAAAACAAATACTTCCTAAAAGGCCTTTAGGAAAGGACAAAATTCTCTCAAAATCTTCACTAATAAGTATTTTTTGTGTCCAAGTGGAATCTATTCTTCTATGATTTAAAATTGTTTTGAAAATAAAATATATAGTTACGTTCTATTTTGCTTTCTTCAGTAAACATTTAAAAACTTTTTTTTTTTTTTTTTTTTGTAGGTACCAGGGCTGGAACCCAGGACCTCTTTACCATTGAACTTTATACTATGGTCATATTTCAGCAGATGTTGGATGTTGTCTCTATTAGTGAGATGAAGGGTTGTATAGTGGAAGAACATCACTTAAAGGATATATAAATATTAGACCATTATAAAAATGTCATATATTCATTTGCCTAATTTGTTTTTTGGGAAACTTGTAAGATATCTTTGGATAATTAGTTCTTCAACATTTCCTATTGCAGACAATTTTTATAATTTTAAAACTAAAACCTCATGCATCTTCAATTGCTACATTTAATAGATGAAACAACTTACAGAAGGAGTAGCTAAAATACTTGCCTTATAAGTTTTCTGACAGAATTTATTTTCTTCATTTTCAATTTAGGGTTCAATACATTAACACATGAGTTTGCCTGATAGTCATAACCTTTTTCTGAATTAAAATTTGCTTCTTTTGAATTCATGCATATATGTATACGCGTGCTTTTGGGCTGGGGATGTGGCTCAAGCGGTAGCGCGCTCGCCTGGCATGCATGCGGCCCGGGTTTGATCCTCAGCACCACATACAAACAAAGATGTTGTGCCCACTGAAAGCTAAAAAATAAATACTAAAATATTCTCTCTCTTTAAAAAACAAAAAATTTTTGCTTCTTTTGAATTCATGCATATATGTATATGTGTGCTTTTACATTTATATTTTCCTTGATGTGGACAGGACTGCATTGGTCTTATTCATCTTATCTTTAGAACTTATCACAGGTCTGTACATAGTAGATTCAATAGATTATTGTAGACTGAGAGAATGATCGGCTTGGATCACATGCATTCACTCAGAGTTTTAATCTTTTTAAAGAGAAAAAATAAAAACAAAAACACACCTGAAGTTCTTCAGTTTATCTTTGTTCTCTTTATTATTTCAGATATTTTTCCCTAATCTTTTTCTTCAGCTTCATTATGTTTCTCTTGGTGACAAGATTTTTATTTTTTATTTTCAGTTGTAGATGGACACAGTATCTTAATTTTATTTATTTTTATGTGGTGCTGAGGATTGAACCCAGTGCCTCACATGTGCTAGGCAAGCACTCTACCACTGAGCTATAACCCAAGTCCATAATAAGATTTTTGAATAAGAAAGTTTCCTTTCTAAACATCAATGATGAATAAATGTAGTTTTTTTTATACAGCAGTGTTTTTATTTCCAAATTATTCTTAAAGCTATTTAAAAGTCACCAAATGTAGTTTCTTTACATTGTCTTACACTGGTTAATGACAGCACCTACTTGATACTTTTCTCCCAAATTGTATAATTACAACACATTAATGCCTGTTTTGACATTTCAATAACCAGAAAATTCTGGTTTTATTTATTTTGCCAAAATAAATTTTCTCCCTTTCAAATCAATTATAAAAATGTTAAACCAGCTTGGAGTTATCATCTATTGACTTTTATCTAGAAGGATCCTTCAGCCTCCATGTTTTTGTTACCTGTATTTAAATAAATTGTCTGTATAATTACATCTTTTGAGTGTTTAAATGCACAAGTCATTGAACTCATCTTTGAATAAATAATTCACAACCTTCTTTAGTTGGTATGGAGGATTAAAGAGTCTTGGATTCATGATAAGGACCTTTAGGAAGTCCAAGTAAAATTCATATTTTGCTTTTTCCTTATACATTGACTTATTTGTTGCCTTCCACTATTCCTCCAATCCCATTTCTTGTCATCCTTAAGAACTATATGGGAATCCATTTATCTATGCCATTGTCCCTTTCCCCTCAGACATTCTGAAGTAATCTAGAAACATCCTTTTATTTGATAATTTTGCCCTGTACTACATACTACCACAGAGGCTTGGAGCTGGAAGAAATCTTGGAGAGTTCTACTAAGAACTCCCATATATCAACTTGATATATTTATAACAATGATTTTTTTAAACAAAGCATTGTAACTACATATAGTGCTTAATCTCTTTAATATAGTACAGAATGCCTTATACATATAATACTTACTTGTATTCATCATAGACTTCCTGTTTGGGCAGTGAAGTCTCAGGATGTTCCTCTAGGGTATTCCGAATCCAGGAAAAGGCATGCATTTGCTGTGCCCGACTAGATGACATGGCATTCTGATCACTAATCATAAAATAAAAATATGTTTAAGCTAAACTAGACAGCAAATTCAATGATAATTTCTGAGCCAGACCTAAAAATTCCACTAAAGAACTATTTGCAAACACATCACAAATGAGTAAACCAAAGTTAGGATATATAGTAGATACCCAAATTGTCCATCTCTGGTTTCACAAGGTAGGATCAAACTGAAATTATTGTTATAGTTTCATCTCTTCTATGGTTTCTAGAGTGGAATAGGTAGTGAAGTAATGACAACATAAGGTATTTGTTTGGGCCAAAATTATCTCTAAATGGATATTTGCTCACTTATTCATTTCAGTTACCTATAAGAATAATTTATTTAATTTCGAAGAAGTTACTGAAGAAATTTCTAGTATATAAAATAACTAAAATAGTTATGCAGCATGGTCTGAGGTAAGACAGAAAAGGTAAAAGTAACAGAATTTTCATTCTGTTTTTTTTATGCACAATTTTAAAGTAATAGATTGCTGAGAATAGCATGAATGAATGAATTTTAAGAAATACTTAAAAGGCTAAGAGGAGTACTTCCCTCCACAGTTTATAGATGAGACAATATATTTTTTTAAAATTTTTATTTGTTCTTTTTAGTTATGCATGTCAGTAGAGTCTATTTTGATATATTTATACAAATATGGACTACATCTTATTCTAGTTAGGATCCCAGTATTATGGATATACACAATGTTGAGATTCACTGTGGTGTATTCATATTTGTACATAGGAAAATTATGTCAGACTTATGCCACTGTTTTTCCTATTTGTATCCCCACTTCCTTCCCTTCAGTCCCCTTTGTCTAATCTATTGAAATTCTATTCTTCCCTTCTTCTTGTGTGTTAGCATCCACATATCAGAGAGAACATGTGCCTTTAAGACTTGAATATTTTTAATGATGAAACTAATCACTTAAAACAATTTACATTTATCATAAATTCATTCTATACCAGTAATTTCTTTTACATTCTGTAATGTGCTTACCTGATAATGTTAAAAATAAAACACAAAAAAGCATCTTACACTTTATTCCTCAAAATACTTATCCATTTATTCTTCGCTTTTCTGTTTAATTTTCACAATTTCTCAGACTGCACAAATTCATCTGTCTATAAAACTTAACCCAATTGCATTTCACAGTATTTATTCAGTTGCACAAACGAATCAGTAGAAACTGCAGTTAAATACTTTCCCAAATAGCAAAGACTAAAATGATCTACTGTTCTGCTGTTCTGTTTTCTAATTATTTTAGGACTATTTTAAAATATTAACAACCAGAATATATATAACATGCCTAAATCCTAAGGTTGTCCTAGAAACAACCTAATTATAGTAAAGACAAGAATAGATATACCTTTTCTCTCCATTGCTGAGACCAGAAGGCAGTTGAAGGTAGAGGTAGAGTTTCTCTAGGTCTGTAAACTTCTCAACTTCTTGCTGGTTATAAAAGATTATAAAGAAAGATCATTTAAAAAAATGTTTGTTTTCATCCCAACAAAATTTACTAACATCTACTCTTAAAAGACATTGATTCTCTAAATTTAAACCAGATGAAATTAATTGCCTGCTAATCAAAACAAAAATCTAGGCTTTTCCCCTCATCAATGAAATAATACAAATAAGTTGATATTTTCATAAAATATAAAAAGTTAACAGAAAAGGTACTTCCTTATTAATACTTAAAGGTACAAATAAAAGTATAGATCGATGCTTAAGAGAAAAAGTTTCTCATTTTTAATTATATTTAAATAAGGACAGTTTTATAATATTGCAGGACAGGTACTAGACCAGAAGCCAAGAGAAACATTCACTAGTTAATCTAAACATGAATTTAACTGGCTCTGGCTGCGGCAAATTTTCCTTACAACTGTGAAATGGATGAGAGGATTTCTAGGATCTTTTTCTAATTCTCAAATACCTAGAATATGTGACTGCAGCTGCTGCTATTATTACCTGTGGAGTGAACTGAGTTAAAACACTGAGATGAAACCAACAACCTTTTCGGGACTATGAAGATGTAATTATTCTTTGATTTGCAACAATGGCTGCTACTTAGAGAACCTATTTGTAAGATTCTCTACTACTATTGTCCTGCAACTATGTCATTTTGTCTATAAATGTACCCTATAAAATAATTTCTGCATTGTTTTTTATAGCTTTGTTTCCCAGATGAGTTTGCCAAATAATAGCTTCAAATGTAACATAAATCTTATTACAATAAAAGTATCCAGAGCAAAATTTTGGTAGCTTAATTCAAGTAAAACTCCACTGCAATGGAAAATGTGGACAGATTACTTAATAAAGCACAGATTAAACACTGATCCAATTTTTGTAAAGTTTTTAACTGAGCTTATTCATATTCATCAAAATTTACCCACAAAAGTTTAAGTCTGAGAATTCATTCAAGAATGATTTAGTCTGTCAATTATATGCAAATAACTCCTGAATATATACATGACAACAGAATGTATTTTGACACATTATATATATATAGGGAGTATAACTTATTCTAATTAGGATCTCATTCTTTGGTTGAACATGATGTAGAGATGTATTGGATGTGTACTCATATATGAACATAGGAAAGTTATGTCTGATTCATTCTACTGTCCTTCTTATTCCTGTCCCTCATCCCTTCCCTTTATCCCCCTTTGTCTAATCCAATGAATTTCTATTCTTCCCTCCCTTCCCTTATTTTGCGTAAGCATCCACATATCAGAGAGAACATTAGGCCTTTGGTTTTTGGGGACTGACTTATTCACTTAGCATGATAGTCTCCAGTTCCATCCATTTACTGGTAAATGCCATAATTTTACTAGCTCTGCATTTTAATGCCATCGTCCATGAGTATTTTCCAATTAGCTTTTGCCTCAATACTAATAGATTTACATGCATACCCTATATAGCTCTCAAAGAAAACAAACATACCAGACACATTCCCTTCTTAAGTGTTAACATCACTTTTCTCTAATTCCTAGAGTGTTTAATTTTGAAGTATGCTTAATTCTGTTCTTCATGGTACATTCCATACCAATCTTTTATTTAGACCTCTAATTCTTTGCCCAATATTTTTCTAGTCTCTTTATTTTCACTGGGACTACAAGATGTTTAGCTGTCTTACTTTCAACAATGAAGGAGAATTAATTTACTCATTAGTTTACTCATTTTGTTTTGTTATGTTTCACAAATTATGTAAGATAACTCTGAACACATATTGTATATCATGAATTAGACAAAGACTGAACATAACAAAGCACAGATAAATAACACATTAATAAGATTCTTGCCCTTAAGGATTTACAATGATATTTATGTTATTAAAATATCTAAATAGCTGGTTTCCTTGCTTCCAACCTCTTCTCACTGTAATCTGTCTTAAATATGGTTCCTAAAATATTTTTTGTCATATACTATCAACTCTTCCCACTTAATCCCAACAATGACTATCATATTAAATCCAGGAAGGCTATGTTATAATAATAAAACATGTTATTATGAGCAAAGTCTGAGAAAATATAATAATGTGATTTCTGATAATTAAGAATAAAAATATGTTTTATACTGTTGACAAAACCTGGAATTCTATATTTTCAAATTTTATGTACATTGGAGAAAAGAATAGAGAAAAAAAATCCAGAATAGGGAATAAATTTCAGAAGATATTCCAAATTAGGATAAAGAACCAAAGAGGTGGGCTGGTGGAATGTAGCTCAGTGGTAGAGTGCTTGACTAGCACATGTGAGGCATTGGGTTAGATTCACAGCGACACATAACATAAAATAAATAACATAAAGGTATTGTGTCTAATACTAAAACAAAAAACAAAAACAAAAACAAACAAAAAACCCCAAAACCAACCAACCAACCAAACAAACAAAAAAACAAAACCCCAAAACCAAACAAACAAACAGAACCAAAGAGATGACTGAAAGGAGAATATATATAAAGTAGCTTTGAAAAAGATCAAACTCGGTGTCCTATTATTATTTTTTTACTACTTCAAACAATAAGAACTTGTAAATATTCTACTACTGTTTCATTTGCTATTTGAGGTTCAACACACAGAAGAAAAAATATGAACAGTAGCATATTTTATAAAAAGTTTTATAAAAATTCTATGAAGCAAATAGGAACAAAATTACCCAAGTATGTACTGATGGCATTCTATTCCAGCAAGGCTGGGGTCCTCACAAAGGTTTCCGATTTGGGGCATACTATGCCATTCACTGCTAATCACTGGCTTCTCAAACAATGCTGGCTAATCTAGGTGAAGACTTTAACGTTCCTTGATTCTCTAGGCAAGAGTATCATGTGCCAAGTGTGGTCAACATCAGATTATTTGATATGCCTTGTAAAAAATTTAAATGTAAGAATAAAAATCTAACATTCCATGCTGATTTACTGACAATCAAAAAGAAATATGTTTGTCTGAATTTGTGAAATTAAGGATAATGGTGCTCTACTCTTTTATTTAGAGTACTACATAAGAGACCAACTCATAAATTTGTAAAAATTATAAAATTCTGAGGGCTGGAGTTGTGGCTCAGAGGTAGAGCGCTCACCTAGCATGTGTGAGGCCCTGGATTCGATCCTCAGCACCATATAAAAATGAAATAAAGGTGTTGTGTCCACCTACAACTAAAATGAAAAATAAATATTTTAAAAAATTATAAAATTCTGAAAGTCAGTTATAATAGAGGAATACAGTACTGACACATACTAGAATACATAGGGATCCTGAAAACACACTAAGTCAAAGAAGCCAGATGTAAGGGGCCACATATTGTATGACTTTAGATGAAATATCCAGAATAGGCAAATCTACAGAGACAGAAAGTAGACTAGCAGTTGCCAGAGGCTCGGGGGGAGGGTGTATGATGCTTAATGCGAATAGGGTTAACAATCAGGGAAATGAAAATGTTTTGGAACTAGACTGAGGCGGTAGTTGTAAAACATTGTGAATGTACTAAATATGATCAATGCTAAATTTTATGTTGAGTAATTCACAATAAAAAACATTTAAGACATACATCACTGGGTTCGATTCTCAGCACCACATATAAATAAACAAAATGAAGGTCCACATATCTACATCTTCCCTTGTCTTAAAAGTTTTCATTTTCTTGAGTTGAAGAAAAAATGTTCTCAAAGCAAAGATATGAAAGAAAAGATTTCAAATTTAGGGGGAACCTCAAATATTTGCTAATTTGTTGATCAAGTTAAGTGATAATTTTGTACAAAAAAATGACAGGCTAGGAAAAAGGCTCTTCCCTGTAATTACAAAAGCTTTCATCCACACATTTAGAACGGTACTTAACTTATTTTGAAATTTCAAATGATGGTAACACCAAGAGTATATTTACACTTATCCCAACGGGACATGGGCTAAAAAAGGTTGAGAGCCAGTTTAGAAGTATATAGCCTTGTTGTTCTCATCTACTTTAACTTAAAAAACAAACTAGTTAAAAATTCAACTCCAGAAAATTTTTACACATGATCCTACAATAGATCTTTTTTTTTTTCCTGTACTCTGGGCCATAGTATTTACTCTTGAAAGTGTTCAGTTTATACTTAATTACTTGCATCTACTGATTGTTTTAAATAATCCTTTCTAGGATGTAGTCATACTTTCCCACTCAACTAGATTAAAGACCTGTTTTGTTCAATTCAATCCCCCTTTGAGGCAGATTCTGAAAGGTAAAATGGAGCTAGATAGCAAATATTTCAATACCCTATTTATTTATTTTTTAAAATTAAACCCACTAAATATCAAAGCAAGCAGAGAGAAGCAGAAAAGGTATTTAAGTATCACTATTCATATTTAAAGGATGCAAACTTTTTGTCATTCATCTTTCTTTGACTTGATCTTTTTAATAGCATATACAACAAACAATATCCTATGGAACAAAAGCAGTTTGTTAATTTCTCTATTGAAAGACAATTACCACAAAGTTGCACTATTTCAAATAGTGCTGCAATGAAATCCTTATTTTTGTCTCCCATGTCCTTCTGTGAGAGTTTCTGTGTAAAATACGTGCCTAAAAGTAGAAATAATGGGTCATAACAGTTGCATATCTTTATTATTTTTGAATTTCTTCTTAAAACTTATGGGTATAAAAATTATCTACGATGGATGATAAGCTGACTTTTTTCATACTATTTATCATTTGAGTTTTAACAGAGAAGCTCTCAAACTTCAGCTTGCATCACAATCATGTGGTGAGCTAGATAAGATAAGGATTGCGGGGCCCTACCTCCTGATTTTCTCAGTCAGTAGATCTGAAGAGAGAGCATGAGAACTTGAATTTCTCCTTTTTTTTTTTAGTATGCTATCATTTTAATTTTAATTAAATAGATAATTTCATATTATATAGAGAGCAAGTCCATCCACTCATTGTTGATAACATTTTAGAAATATTTTCTATAAAAAGTTTAGT